CACTTACCTTGTACCTGAGTGTATCTTTGCTAGTGTAACTTAAGCGTATCAAACACTCTCCTCCTGAAATCCAAATCTTCCAAAGTTTCATTATCACAATCTAAAGCTATAAACAGATAATATTATAAGCAAAAGGGACCAGAGCAAACACTTCAATATAACAAATATTTGCTTTGTGCCATTATTTTATCTGACTCATATTATTAGACTTACTGTTTTTACCACAGGTAAAACAGCAGCAGATTGAGCAATGAACCACTATTCTCTTCACAAGGAAGAACAAAGCAGCCCTTGGTAACAAACATTTGTATGAGCCAGACTGTGATGAGCTTTGTAATAAAGGCAAAACAAGCCAAAAAAGTAGGGGTTTGGAGCATCAAAAGGATGATGAGCAAGAACAAAAAGTCAGCAGTGCTGAGAGTGATAGATTGACACAAACACAGTGTCTTTGGAGTATGGAACATCAATATTACAAACAGATGAAAAGCAATTATAAATGAAAACAAAATCATAATATATCTGGAAAGACAAGAAAGTTATCAGTCAGAGGGAGGGGCATTAATTAGGACATGCAAAGTAGGAAATCACTTAGAGACACAGAGCCCATTAGCAGCTCATAGCCCCAAGCTAAATTCAAATAGGAGACTCAAAACCGACACTTACACATGGTCTGACACACATGGGGTACTGCTGTGATGAAAGTAAAACTTAGTTCTGCAGTGGTTTATGAAGTATGGTAGTATCCCCCTGAATGAGGCTTACTAATGAGGAGGATGGCAATACTGATCCAGACAAGGCAATGTTCGACCATGACTCCAGTGCCCACACCACAGAGGTGAGACCTCCTCCCAGCTGAACGGGATGCCAAGGCTTCTCAGAAATAAAACACTTTTCTTACACAAAAATACACTTCTCTTACACATCAATTAACTCAGGATGGTGGCTTCAGGCTCCTCAGGTGCCATCACCAGGCACAAGACAGACTATCTGGTTGATTGAGGTTTCCAATAGTCATGCAAAAGAGCAGCCCTGCAACAGAGAATCTCACTGGTGAGCCTGGAGCGAAGTCTCACAGCTCACCAACAAGATGCCACAAAGAGCTTTTGAAAGGCAGAGTTAGCAAGTAGGAAAAAACTGTCTGGCCTTGCAAAAATAATGGAGTCTATCATTACACACCTAGGAGATTCCCTGGCAACTCCTGAGTATTTTGTTAACAAGCCAAGGAATACAAGCATGAAATGACTCCTATGATTCTGAGAACATGTAAAAGCAAATGTACATTTCAATAAGGAAATAAAATCACCAACTGGCATGTACTTTGCAGTTTTAAACAATTCTGGGTTGCTGAAAATCTCCAGCTATGAGTCTTTCACTCAGCTCTTACCTTCTTCATAAAGACCTCATCATGTGAGGTAGAAACACCAGAACTAAACTCACATGAATCCCTGAAAGACAAATGGCTCAGGAAAATAACAAATGCTTCAAAAAAATATTCCATGACACATACTGGTTTATTTCAGAGTCCAGCAACTATTATTTCCAAAGTTGTTCAGAAAAAAACATGGAGAAACATAAGAGAAGTTGCTATGAAACAATGGAAAGCCATGGAGAAGACACAAGCTGCAGGAGTCCTTCCTTTGAGCAACCTGTGGGGAAGGAAAACCTGTGGAGAGCGGCATTACAAAAGAAGTCTTGGTTTTGGCCATTGTAGTATTTGACAGCATAGGAAAACAGGTATTCAGACTATCACTGGAGATAACAAATCTAAAGTTAATTTCCTAAACAGCAAGCTTGCCTGGAGAAGAACCTCTTAGGTACAGAAATGAGTCTATGCTGACATTTGTGGCCAGCACTGACGGGAAGTATCAGTTGTTTAGAAAGAGAATAAATGTGCTGTCACAGAGGGTTACTAAAGGTGAAAAGGCAATTAATGCTCAGGGCCTTGAATCCCTAAGGGTCACTGCCTAAGCCTCCTGAAAAATTAGTCCATATGTTCTGTATTATTTTCTTTAGCTGCAAAACAGATTAGGACTGTACAATATACACATGGGAAGTGGATACAGCCTCATGTTGCTTACATTCACAAGAGATTCCCACATCCACTCTTTGGGAAAGAAACATAAGGAAGTGCAGGTATGCAAGTGTTCCTCTGCCTTTGGTGTTTCCTATTTCATGTTGTCTGTTCTTTACTTATCCTGTCACCTGATACAATGCTCTTGTGAGAGAGATCTAAACATGATCACACTGAAAGAGCACAATATTTCAGAAGTGTAGTGTTTTATCTCCCCTTTGGCTTTATTGATCAACCATTAGCTTTAGACTAAATGCTGCACTGTGATTTTGATTCAGCTGCTGAAAAAACCTCATCTATGAAGCACTGAATTCATTCCTTAAGGTACGTCTAAAACTAAGGCTGAAGTTTTGGGAAGGATTGTCTTTCCCCTGCCACATTCACTCTTGTATTTGTTATGGGTGTAACCATTAATGGTTCCGTTGTGGTACGGAGAAGTATTTGTGAGGAAAATTCTCTCTCCAAGAAATGCTCTCATATGCCTCCAGCCACTCAGGAGTAAAGTAGAGCTTGTGCCCACACTGTACTGCATTGCTCATTCCCAGGATATTAGCAGATCTAAACGTTTTTGCTCAACTTTGACTTTTAAACAACTAGTTCTTTCTTTCAAATGAAGCAAAATCACTGCAGAAAAGATTCTTGGCAGCAGTTTTTGCTCTGGCTTCCTGAGGAATGCACTCACTTTAAAAACTGAATGAAAAACCAATGGCACATAAAACTGCCTCATGACAATGCTGGCAGTCCTACCAGTTTCTCATCCACCCACATTTACCAAGCACTATGCATTATGTTAGAATTGTAACTTTGAAATTATAACCTCTGAGGACATGCTTTTTAATCACCAGTATCTCATTTTCTACTTTCAGAGTGTTGTGGAAGTGTTATTTGAATAGCGGGTACCAGATTTTAAATGTCTGCAGTGATTACAATATTCTGTTAGTGATAGTATCAGAAAAGTCCTTCAGCTGAGACCTCTTGGATTCTCACACCCAAAGAAAATATTTTAGCCATCTGTTCACCTGATATTTGCTACAGCAGAGAAGAAAAAGCTCAGTATTTTCTAGTCAGCTTAGGTCCAGCATGGAACACCTCAGTGTTCTTTTGGCTCCAGAAAACATCCTATTGTGGTAAAAGTTTAGGTATTCCTACTTTATATCTCATAGAATATATCCCAAGTATGATACTCAATATGACTTTTAAAAGCCTCTTAAGCAATATTGATCTTCTTTCATGTTAATCAGTTTTTTTCTCAGCAAATGTAAACATCAACCAGTCTATAAAGATGAAAATGTTCCTGCTCTGAACAAGAAAGTTTCAAGTTTTGTGGCTGAGTACGTCAGCACCAGACTTCCAACATGACATGCAGAGCTGTAGACCCAAATTATAGGCCACTCCAAACACAAAAGTTTAAAAAACAGCCACTCCCCTCTTTCAAAAACTCTTTTGTATTCTTTTTGGTTTCTCTAAGAACAAGTTGTTGATGATGGTATTTTCCTACTGCATTTACACAAGCCTAGAGTTATAAAAGCCAGGCAGGCAGCACTACCCATCTGGATGCTGATAATCACTTGCTGCCCTGTGAATAGGGCAGACTTCTTGCATAAACTCACATTTGTGGAACTCTGGATGCTGATAATCACTTGCGCAATGGCTGCCCTGTGAATAGGGCAGACTTCTTGCATAAACTCAGAATATTTGTGGAATATGATTTTTCTCAAGCTCTGCTTGCAGCCCAAGCTTCAAGTGTAACCTACACAGATACCTAGTTGCAATTGCTCAGTATCTCTGAAAACCGTGTGGTCCACACACACTGATAAGGAGCTTAACTCCATATGCTTTGCTTTGAAAAACTAGTGCTTTTTTAGATGAAAATCTAAAAGCTATCATAGCATTTCAGACCAGTAATAAGATTTTATCAGATTATGATCCCTTTAGTGTCACAATCTGTGTTTTACCTAAATAGCCTGATGAGGCTCAAACGCCTCATGCTAGCCTCTTTCTGAGTGGTGTGTCACATGCTGAGAGCAGAAGAGGCTGAAATGTCACTGCTACCACATGGCCATGTCAAACAGCAGCAAGGATCTGACTGAGGCAGATGCACCCGGGCAGATGTGGCCAGCGATCCATGCCTCCTTCCCCTCTGCTCCCTGCTGACTTAAGACATTCACCCCCAGGGCAGTGTGGACAGGATGGTTCCCACAGCCATACCCAAACTTGGGACACCAAGCACTTCCAGTCCTAGCTCTGCACATGCAAGAAGTTGACTTCTGCCCCTTGCCACAGGCAAACCTCTTTGCTAATGGGGATGGTTTGGCATCCCTCACCAGCGCCTGTGCTATGTTGGCTGCTTACTTGCAGTCATAGGCACATTTTGATGTGCAGGATGGGCCATCAGTGATTTCACTCAGCATCTCCTGAGAGACAAGAAGCAGCTGAAAGCACTGATGCTAACCTGGGTGTTTTAGAAAGCCATCTCCACATGGCTAATTGTTACACTGATTGCTGATGGCTTGAAATATCAACTCTTGGGGTTCACTATCCTGAAACCATTCATGCACACCCACGCCCACACACACCACGAAGAGAAGAAAACGATCGCATTCAGCGTTTTAGAGCTACAGGTATGCACTGTATATAAATAGTGTGCGTGACGGGGCAATACTGCATTTTCTTATCATAGAAAAAAAAAAAAAGTCATAAACCACCCAGGAAGCGTATGTTCCCCGGGAGCGCCCTGCCGTGGGCGCAGCCGTTCCGCCTCCGCCGAGGAGCGGCCGCCCCTGCCTGGCCAGCACCGGGGCGGCACCGGGGCACTCTCGGGTGCTCCAAGCTCCGCTTCAAGCTCCAAACGTGCCGCGCCGAGCCGAGCCGCTCTGAGCCCCTCCCCTGTCCCCGCCCAGCCGGCCCGGGCCCACCCCCGGCGGCGGGGCCGCTGCGCCGCCGAGCCATGCGAGGCTTTAAGCGGCAGGTGCGGGGGAGCGGAGCACACGCGTAAGCGGCGGCTGCTGCGGCCCGGCGGTAGCGGCGGCGGGCGCCTTTCGGCTCGGCGGGAGCCGCGGCGGAGCGGAGCATGTCGGTGGCGACCGGGGGCAGCGAGGCGGCGGCAGCAGCGGGCGGAGGCGGCGGGAACCGCGTTTTCTTCCAGAGCCCCCGTGGCGGCGGCGGGAGCGGCGGCTCCTCCGGCAGCTCCTCCCGGGAGGACTCGGTGTCGGCAGCGGCGGCCGTGGTGCAGGTCCAGCAGCGGCGCCACCAGCAGGGGAAAGTGACGGTGAAATACGATCGCAAGGAGCTGCGGAAGCGGCTGGTGCTGGAGGAGTGGATCGTGGAGCAGCTGGGGCAGCTCTACGGCTGCGAGGTGCGGGGCCGGGGTCGGGGGTCCCCGGCGCGGTCGCTGTCGCCTCAGTCCCCTCGCCCCCGGCATCCTCCTCCTGCCCCGAGTCGCATTTCGGCGGTGGGCAGAGGAGCGCTGTCACCGCCACCTCCAAATGACATTCCCGGTCCACCGCCTCCACCCTGCCGCTGCCCCGCGCCCCAGTGGTGCCTCGGCTCGGGGAATGGTGAAAGGTGCCCCATGTCCTATAGACGGGGTGTCCCCCGTGCCCTCCCGAGGTGAATAAGAGGGGGCCGCCCTTTGGGGACGGGCGGTGGCTGCCGCACGGCCGGGCACGGAGGGTCCTTTTCCTCCGGGGGGGCCCGGCGGCTGCGGCAGGTCCGGGAATGCCAGGAGGTTCGCCCGCGGCTGTGGTGGCCGGGAGCCGCTGTCCCCGCAGCCTTGCAGGGCAGGGCGGAGCGGGGCTCCAGGGCGCCTGCGGCGGGCTGGGCGGGCTCGGTCTCCGTTAGACGCGAGCTGGCCCGGCGCCGGGGGCTCGGCGGCCGGAGAGCTGAGCGGTGCGCTGGGCACAGCGGCAGCAGCGAGCGGGACCTGCGCGGGGGCGGCTGTTGCGGAGGAAAGACTCCGGTGCGGGTACGGTCCTCTCTGGATCGTGGTGTTGCGTTATCCCGACATGCAGGAGCGGGGTAGATGCTGGCCAGGAAATCTTAGTGAGCAATTCGGAGATCATTAGGACGAGAATCGAAAACAGCGGGGGCTTGTATGTACGTGATTTTTACATATCAAATGTGTTTTTCTGTTACTCTGGGCAAAGAGCGAGTGTTGCCAGAATGAATTCTCTTTTGTAGAGGACAGATGAGCAGGAGAATGTTTCAAAATTGTTCGGGGAAATGGCAACTGTTGTCTTCCTTGTGAAGATAACGATGTTGTAAACCTTCTAATCCCCAATGGATCGTATCTCCCTTCCACCTCAGATATTTACTTTTACCAAACTAAACTGATGTTCACACATACTTTTCCCATCAGTCATCTAATTCATTTTGTTAGAGACTTCTGAAGTGAGCTTTGTTGAAGCCAGACGTGAATTTTGCAGCTAGCATGTCCAGGAGCCAACATCTCACTCCTGAGCATGCTGGAGCTAGGAAGACAAGAGCTTGATAGTCCTTAAGGTGTGGATGTGAAAATATAAATAACCTGGATGGAATATCTAGCACACGCCTAATACAAATGTTTAAAGAAACTCCTTTAATCTGAAAAGTGATTTATTGGCAAATTTGTTAGAATGACACATGAAAAAATGTGTATGTGTCAAGTTAAACCTCCTCAACTGTTCACATCCCTGAGCTGTGGGAAGGAAAGATACAAATGGAAACTCCAGTTAAAAATAACAAAAATAAGCAGTTCTTAGTCTTTGTCTTGGTGTGACTTGCCTCTCCAGTCTCATGACTTGTTTGGCCCCATAGCCTGTAGGCTGTGAGGGTTTTCTGAGGCCAGAAGTGTTTGCAGTTGTTTGTGTGAACTGATGATTCTGTGCCTGTGCAAGCTGATAATGTAGTTAGTGTCTGGCCTGCTGCATCCGTCCTCTGGTTTGACTCTCACTGTTCAAAGGCACCAGGCCTGTTTGGGCTGTGTGCTTTTCACATATGAGTGAACTTGTTCTGTTCATAAGAGAGGATGTGGTATGCAGGACCAAAGCCCAATGGAATTGTTGCTTCTCTTCACAGTATTCAAATCACAGGCTTGTTGAAGGAAAATCATTCATTCTTTTCCTTATTATAGTTGTTGCTTCCAACTAAAGTAGAAGGATGTATGCTTTAGAAGGTCTCCATTAAGGTGGAGACCATATATAGCTGAATAAAAATAATTTGTTAGATGGTTTGGTTTCTGAGGTGACTTTTAGGGGGAAAAGTGGTTTAGCATAACAGAACAAAATGTTTTTAGATATGAAGGCCAAGGGCAAAATATTTAAGTCATCTTCTGCTCTTCTTTGCTATTATGCATCAACTCTATCCAGAGTCAGCATAGATGATGGTAGTGAAAAGGTCAAGCTATTAATATGCTATCAGAATAAAGTTGAAGATGTATGATGAGTGTAGTGATTAAAGACAATAGCAATTTAATGTGAGATGCTTTGCTTGAATCTGCTTGAATTACTTCTAGGCTTAGAGATGTAGCTCTCAGGCTGAAATTTAATCACCTATGCAGACAGTTAATAACCCTGTCTGAGGGCAGGTTGGGAGGGGGTTGGGAATTGCTCACTTGAACTTCTATGGAAGATCTACAATAACTTCCTAATGCAATGACATTTAAGTTCTGTAATGATCTAAAATCTTCCAGGTTGTCAGAAATAGCCATTGAATTTTTAATCCTGGAAGAGCTAACTAATGTCAGTGTTTCATTGCTATTCTGATTCAGAGCTCTATTTCTAAGGAGCAGTGCACTTCATTTCTGGGAAGAGCAGAAATAAGTAGAGGGTGCTTGCAATGTGGTGTGCTGAAAGCCTGTAAGAAGACTTGCATGTGTCTTTGTTAGACTGCATAAATGTAGTGCCTGCTCACTGTTTTCCATTTAAATAATGTTTGCTATTATGCTGAGATTCATCACTAAGTGGATACTTGCAGAAAGATTCCCTTTATTTAAAACTAAACATGTACTCATAGTCTCTCAAGTACTTGCAAGTTAAGTCAGCTATAAGCCTGTCTTGGCATTACGACAAAGTTTAGGAGATGAGGTTGGGAAATAATGAGACAGGTTTGTTTGTGTTCTTTTTCTAGTGGGTCTTGTCTTTACTGGTACATTTTTAGTTTTAAAAATTGGATGCCAAGCAATATAATGGTGTTGGGAGTGTGACTTAGAAGGAGCTATTTGAGACTATGTTTAATGCATACATCAGTTATATGACACAGAGCTTAGCTTTGGAAAGGTTACTTCCACATGATGCAGACTCCAGGGGTAAAAGACCCTTTACCTGAATGGTAAACGTTATCAAGGTAGAAAGCTTTAATAGGACCAGGGAGACTTCAGCAGGATTTGTGTGGCCCCAGAACCTGCCAAGCTAACGTACTCAGGTCAGGTGCTTCAGGTGAGTATTGGTCTGGCTGTCTGCTTCTGGGACTGCTTCATTAAAAAAAAAACCCAAAAAACATATATAACCTGTTTGTTCTGGTTTCTGTGAATGCTGAAACTGAGGTTATAGTTACAGGTTAGTATATTGAAAATGCAATGCCTTAATTGCAGGACTTGAACTGGCTTCAGTGTTGACCTTTAATAGGTATCTTGGTACTAAAAATAGTTTCTCCACAGATGCTTTGTGTTTTGGGCTAAGTGCATTATTGGTTAAGAATTGCAAAATAATGCTGCACAGAACTTCTTACATCATCACTATTCATTCCCTGATGGTTTGCAACTTGGAGTTCAGCATGAAAGTGGTGACAGACCAGTTTTCCAGATGTATGATCTATGTTGTGTGCACCTGCCAAACTAGTATGACTTTGTATATGAAAAAAAGAGACCACTGGACTTGTCCCCAGAAACCATTTAATTTTGCAGGTGAATTTCTGTGCTCTGAGGTCCTGTCTATCCAGAATTATAGCATTTGCTATAAATGGCACACAGATTTTTGCACAACAATGAAGAAAGGTTTTGCTTGTGCTATGGATTTGTTGCTGAATATTTTTTAATGTAGAGATTTACATGTGCAAATCAAATGAGCCCCTAGACTTTGCACTCTAAAAAGCTGAATACAGGACTTGCATTCTGAGATATTGTTGAGCTTAGCTGAGTAATCAATTATTTTATTAGAGTATGTCTAGTGATGTATGGAAGTCAGTGCTTGGCAGGGCATATGATGTTGGTCTGTGAGTACCAGAGCGTTATGTCCAAGCCTATTATTTTTCCATTCCAGGAATGGAAATACCCTGACATTGTGTTTAAAAACTCACTGTACAATAAAATACAGTTGGAAGAGCTGCCCATAAAGGCCCTTCAGGCATTTCCTTTAAGAGTACAAATCCAAGTCAGACTGAGAATTGTTATGTGTAAGACTTTCTTCCATCTTCTGGTACAGATACTGCAATGACAGGAGTGGCATGAAGCACTGAAAAGGGTCGGGGATTTAATGTTGGCAGTGGAATATGGGAGGGAAAGGATCAATTTAACTCAGTCCTGCATAGATCAAGAGATCCCTTTGCCTGGTTGCTCAGTGACTGCAGAGCTGGAGAGCACCCTCTTTGTCTGTCTTCCTGAAGCTGCTGGGGTATGCTAACATTTCCCTCCACACACTGTCTTTTCCAAAACAGCCTGGTCAGCATGCTGCTAAGGCTGCCATGTGGTGATGTGAACCTGATGGTATGATCAGGTACTACTTATGCCTCAGGCTCTGGTGAGGTAATGTTTGAAATTCATTATTAATTTCTCAGAAAGGCGTTTGGTAAGAAAATCCACTGAATAAAACGCTACAGAAACCAACTTTTGCCTACAGTCTCACTCTTTGAATAGACTTCTAACTTGGACCAAGATCTCAGAAATGGTAATTGCGTGTGGATTCCTTTCTCCATGGATTAGAAGTGGAAAGAGGCTGAGAAGGATCTGAGAACTGGAGAGAGTGTCACTCCTTTAAAAAGATGCAGGTTAGTAGGAGGCATGATAAAGGATTTCTTTCTTTGGGAGATTGTGTTGCAGTTTAGATGCATTTGAGTAAAGAACTTGTAGGTCCACCAAGGTGCTTAGAAATTTATTTGGATTATTTATTTTGGACAGCTCTTACAGATCTCCATGTTGTACAGCAGAAATTTTGGTGCCCTCTCTTGAGGGCAAGGGATACTGTGCAACATACTTGTGTCAGCTGAAGAGTTGCTATGATCAGAGACCTGTAAAGGATGCAGGCAAGACAGGTGTAGCAAAGGCTTATTCTATCATGTAGCAGCCACAGAATGCCACAGAAAGGCATTTGAATCCCAAGAGCAGAAAATGGGAAGCCTAAGAAATGTCTTAAAACAAACCTTGTAAAATGCATGCAGTTCTTT